GATATGTAGTTTGTTGTGGCGCCAGAGCTTTCTGTCAGAGAAGGCTAGATATCTCACAAAACTACAGTTCCCTGAATTTCATAGCAACTGAGCCATGGCAATTAAAGCAGTGTCACTGCATTAATTCTGCTGGGTAGCAATTAACAACAACAAAAAGGTGCAGCCTAGCATGAGCTTTTATGGATATATAATGAAGGAGTGGAGCTTTTCCCTAGTCTCAGCTATGCTACTGGATTCCTCAATATCTTTGTTTTTTTACTGTTGGGAAAAGCTGATATCTTCACAGGGCAATAGTAAGATCAACACAACTTCAGGTAAAGAAGCGAGTGCTTTTCTCTCTCCCTCTCTCTCCCTCTGGAAGGATAAGAATCTCCTGCACTGTCCAGAGCAAAGTTTTTGTTGTTGTTGTGTGCCTCCAAAGAGTTTATCACACAGAGAAAAATGGGAGGTTTAAAATGGTAAGAACCCATTCTTAACTGACAATTCGCAAATGGTTTTCACACACAAAGCACTGTTATCTCATGCAGAATCACAAATGCATGAATGGGCATGATGGGATCAAATGTGCCTCCATCCCGATAATGATTAAAGCATGCACATAATGCAAAAGCGAGCAAATGTGCAAATGATTTTCACATGTAGACTGTGAAAATCTCTCTCTCTCTCTCTCTCTCTCTCTCTCTCTGTGTGTGTGTGTGTGTGTGTCCCTGCCTTCCCTCAGCAGCAGTTCCTTTATTTTATTTTTTTTTTCATCTTTATTTTTTACTTTTTTGTAATATCATGTACATACATTCCATTATAACATACATAAATCCAGAGAGGTTTAGTTTCATAAAATTATTACAAGTCCACTCATTCCTCAAATAATATATTGGACCTTTATGTCATAATCTTTTAATAAAAAGGCCGAATGGAAAGGTTTCTTATTTCTAATTATCTACATAACTAAGTTTGCATAATTTAGACATATTTTCCATGCCTTAAACACATACATATTTCTTTAAATCCTTATAAATCTAAATACATCATTCCTTCCATATTTTTACTTCCACAGCCTTTCTAATTTTCCCCATTTCTTAATATATTGACTCTCTTGTTTGCCATTCACCATCATTGTCAATTTATCCATAATCATCATGTCTTTTAATTTCTCTTTCCATTCTTCTATTATGTGTTCTTTCTCTTTTT